AGAGACTGTGCACGGCCTGATCACAGCATATGTGTGAAAGACAAGCCAGAGGGTCACATGCTACCTTCTCTCTGGACCCATGAATTCTCATCATACATAGCCTGAAATCTCATCACTGACCCAGTTCACTCTAAACTTCTAAACATGTAAGAGTACACCCAGGGTTGGATGTAGCTCAGTGTGAAGAGTCTTGCCTGGCATATACAGCCCTAGGCCTGAGGTCCAGCAGCCCACAAAGTAGGTGTGGTACTGAACATCTGTAGAGCCCCAACTCAGGAGATAGAGGCAGAAGGATCAGAAGTTCGAGGACATCTTTGGTTACAAATCAAATTTAAGCTCAGCCTGGGCTCTATGAGCCTGTCACAAAATTAATCAATTAACATTAATTGAAGATTAAAAGTATGTATATCAAAGTATCTTTGGCCAGTAAAGTGCTTGCCTAACAAGCTCAAAGGTTCAATCTTTTTCACCACATAAGTCAGACATGTAAGGTCTACCTGAAATCCCAGCACTGTCGGGTAGAGTCTAGAGGGTTAGAAGTTCCTCCTTAGCTGCAGAGTAAATTTGAGGTCAACCTGAGCTAGGTGGACTGTGACCCTTCCGAGAGAGAGAGAGAGAGAGAGAGAGAGAGAGAGAGAGAGAGAGAGAGAGAGAGAGATAAAAAAGAAAAAGAAAAAAGAAACCTCCTATCTCTTTAAATGTTAACCTTACCCCAAACATTATGACAAGGACTCAAATTGTTCCATTGCTGTCTGTCCTCGTGATCCATTTGTCCAGTGGCCCGAGGCCACCACTCTCACCATTAGTCTCTCACTGTGAAGCCAAACCGCAGGCACAATCCCATCAGCCTCTGAGCACCCAAGCTCTTCCCCGTCCAGGGTCACCGTGCTCCCTCCTCTTTGATTTCCCCCCCATTAGCCCAGTCACTTAATCATTTTAAACTTCCGCTTTCCTGTCCATAAAGGAGAATAACAAAATGCACACTGTAGATTGCCTAAGAATCCACCATCGATGGAAGAAAGCATTAGCGGCTCAGTGCGACCATCTTAGGAGTAACTTAGTGGCCTGTCTGAGCACTGAAGCTTTGAACGCCTGTACTCAAGATGTGTTTGCTGAGGGTAGCCTTGGAACAATTTCCACAGTATTTTACTTAGCATCGATAAATCTTTGCCTTACATTTTATTTGGCACCACATTTGTAACTGGCCAATGGCCCTAGTTCAGTGTTCAAATGAATAACTTTGAGAGGTTCACAGAATTTACACACCGGCTGTGCTGTCTTATCCCTGAAGATTTCCAGCCTGGCTGTGACGGTGTCCTGTGGCTTGGTTTGGGGTTTCTCTTCTCCTTCCCTCACACCCACCTGTCTGTCTGTCTGTCTGTCTGTCTGTCTGTCTGTCTGTCTTGACCTGGGTCCTAACTAAAGGGGCCCCACTGAGCTCTATTACATTTCCAAGGTAAAGACTGGGCAGCTGCCCGCCCACGCCTGGCCCACGCCCCTAATTTGGGTTTTTATGACCTATGAAACCAAGTCATGTTGATTTAAGAAAACTGACAGTAATTCAGACCTGTCAAGGGGCCGGTGGGAGACTGGAAAGATAGCTTACTGGTCGAGAGCACCGACTGTTTCTGCAGATGACTCCACCACCCACATCAGGGGTATACAGTTATATAACTCTAGTTCCAAGGGATCTGACCCCCTCTGGCCTCTATGGGAAACACACATGCACACACACATGCACACACACACAGTGTGGGCACACATATATGTGCATAATCAATAATTTTTTTTTAAGAAAAGAGAAAGAAAAATAGACAATCACCCTGAGAAACTCAGCAGCGGTTGGGTGCACGCAGCGAGCTGAACACAGACCTTAGTCTCAAACTCTTCGTGGGTGAAGCTAAGTCTTTTTATTTCTTTATTTTTAACGTAGAGAAGCCTAGCCATTTAATTCCTGTGTGGGCTGGTTAGACAGAGCTTGCCTTTGAACTTCAGGTACACGGGGTGGGGGATTCCCAGACAGGTCTCCTCATTTTCTGTCTTCTACATTTAGGGACAAGAAGGTAGAGGCTGTTTTGTATATACTAACAACAAGCACGAAGCCACCAAATCTCCAGCACTCTGTTCTGGAGGAGGCTCACTCTTGTCTTCAGACTTGAGTGTGTCTCTCTAACTTCCTGAGCTGAGCTGACAGGGCAGGGGGAGGGGCGCCTAAGCTAGAGATGCCTAACAATACAGAGACTGGTTCTAAAAGTCTGGGACCTGGGCTTCCCAGGGGTGATCCTCCTGAGGGCTGAGGGCTAGCCTGCTCCCAAGACTCTCCCCAAACTTCTGGAACACTCTGGGCTTCTTGATGCGTCATTCCACACTCTCCCTCAGTCTTCACATAGCACCCTCTCTTTATCTTCTCACAAAGACACTAATCTTGGTTTAAGGGCCTGGCCTTCTCCAGCGTGTCCCAGTCCGAGTGTGTAATCTCCCTATTTCCAAAGAAGGTGGCATTCTAAGGTCCTGGGAGTTAGGACTTTGATATATCTTTTGGGGGGGACATAGTTCAACCCATAATATCTTTAGAAAGCTTTCTCCCCTACAGCAACAGCAACAACAGCAACAACAAAACAGCTATTAGTATTTAATAGTCATTTAACACTAAAAAAAATTTCTTGTGTTGATTAGTGGGATATATACACTTTTTCTTTTAGTTTTCCTTGTTCTTATACTTTGTCCTTGTAGGGCAGACTTTTGAAAAGTGAAAAATAACCTCACAAACCCACACAACTAAGAAACAATTGCTATGAGAATTGAGTTTCTTTTTTAAAAAACTGAAATTTGGTTATTTTGTTTTAAAATGTTGATCTGCACTTTAAAAATCATTTATTAAGTTAGTGTGTTACACGTGTGTGTGTGTGTGTGTGCATATATGTGGGGGGACATGCAGATAGAGATCAGGGGACAACTGGAAGATGTTGGTTCTTTCCCTCCACCATTTAGATCCCAGGGATTGAACTCAGCTCTGTCAGGTTAGCAGCAAGCCCCTTTGGCCACTGAGCCAGCTTGCCAGCCCTAATCTGTATTTGTAAAGAATTTAAGTAGTGAGAAGATGGTCCAGGGAAAGGCTGAGAGTCCATGTGACCCAGGTGACTTTCTGTGGTCTCCACCGAGTCTGTAGGCGATCTCTGCACCTTACCGAAGCAGAAATGACCTCTGCAGGTCTTGTACCCCAAAGAGTGGTTTTTATCTAACCAACACACGCTTTCTTCTTAGGAAAGGGAGTTTTCTTTACTTGTGTACCTAGATGGGGTTAAGCGACAACATGTCATTTTAATGTGTGATTTGGGAGAGGACATCGGCCCCTTTTCCTGAGTGAGCACAGTACACACTATCGATCGGGTCATTTAGTTCTGTTTGAGTAATTACCTGCCTGGGATTCTCACAGACTGTGCGTGAGACTGAATGGCTTTGGGAGTCCTGTCAGTGCCTGCCAGGCTGACAGGTAAAGTTATAGAGAATATAGAACTGTAATGACTGTCTCTAAAACTCCTCAGGGTGCAGGGAAGCCACCCCTGCAACACACACACACACACACACACACACACACGGCGGCGATGCAAGACCCAACACCTTCACCTTGTATATGCAGCCCTGCCCCTGGACCACTGAGTGCTTTTAGAACATTTGCCTTGGACTCTCATCTCCCTAGCAAACATTTCCACAGTCCTACATACGCCTGTGCGGGGCAGTGGGGAGGAACAGTAGCCCACAGGGAAGCCAAAGTCAGCCCCGGACAGTTCGGTCCAATCCAGTGCACACTGGCCAGCATGAGGCAGGACCTTCCTGTGCAAACAGCAGTGAAAGGTGGATGGAGCCTTCTGCAACAGTGCAGGAGGAGAGTCAGGTGGTTTCCAAGGAGATGCGTTCGTTAATGTTTTCTACTGAATGAATGGTTTTAAAGTGAGAAGCAAAGCTGGCAAGTGTTGTTTGATGCTGCTGCTATGGAGGTGGGGTGGGGGTAGGGATCTGGAGGTGGAGATGGAGGTTGGGAGTTCATTAATACTTCTTAAATTAGAAAATCCTTCACTTAAAAATAGCAAAACCTAGTGATTTCTAAAATTAGCTCCCTTTGCTTTCCATAAATACACTTAGACCTCCCCAGACTGGTCCACCACCAAGCCTTGTGGGCTCGGGCAGTCTTTAATGGGTAACCTTGACGAGGAAGGGTTGGGGTAGCCTAGAATTCAGGTCAGGACTCAGCCAGGGAGCCCAGTGTAGGCCTGAACCTTCCACACTGCGGACCCTGGGCAACGTGGAGCAGCTGGGGACTGTCCTGACTTGCTTGAGAGAGTCCCCTACCCTGGGCAGTCCCTGTGACTAGGAAAGCAGGGCTGAGCCTTGACTTATACCCCTGTCAGATGTATCTAAGAACCTGGCCACTTGGAATCCTGTCCCTGGGCAGGAGTCAGCAAGCTTGGGGTCACATCAGGCCTGAATTCCAAAACACAGCCTCTGACCTACCTCTGAGGTGCCAGAGAAAGTTACCCCCTTACAGACACAACCCCCAAGGCTGTTCTCTAAGTCACAACAGGTACACACCTTAACTAACACGTGTCAGTCCAAGTAGTGTGGTTAACATTTTTTATTACCGATTATTGATGAAACAGAAGGAAGGTTGAAGTGTAACAGAAAAGCCAGAGTGTAGATACAAGGTAGAACTTCCTCCATGTGCTTCTCATAAGTAGTAGGTCCTGGGAGATAGATATTCAGAATGGGATCTGTGGCATGACATTCCCTGGAGTCTCCAGGAAGCACAGGCTGCTGGGACCTGCATCCTCTCTTCCAGCTCTGTCCTTCCATCCTTTGGAGCCTCCATTTTTTCCAGGATATGTTAATTATCATACCAACTGCCTATGGAAAGGTGTTTCGGTGACAGAAATAAAGGCATCTAGATAATATTTAACCCAGTTCCCTTTTCTTGCCCTCCCTCTTCTCCCCGGCTTTATTAGGCTTCCTGCGGGCACCTAAGGACCAGATCCATCCCTGGGGACCTGGGCACTGCCCGGCGCGGCTAGCGAGGCCCTTGGCCATGGCCAGCACAGCGGTCCAGCTCCTAGGCTTCCTGCTTAGCTTCCTGGGCATGGTGGGAACGCTCATCACCACTATCCTGCCGCACTGGCGGAGGACGGCCCATGTGGGCACCAACATCCTGACGGCCGTGTCCTACCTGAAGGGACTGTGGATGGAGTGCGTGTGGCACAGCACAGGCATCTACCAGTGTCAGATCTACCGCTCGTTGCTGGCGCTGCCCCGGGACCTGCAGGCAGCCCGGGCGCTCATGGTCATCTCCTGCCTGCTGTCGGGCATGGCCTGCGCCTGTGCAGTAGTGGGCATGAAGTGCACTCGCTGTGCCAAGGGCACACCCGCCAAGACCACCTTCGCAGTGCTGGGGGGCGCACTCTTCCTGCTGGCCGGCCTGCTCTGCATGGTGGCCGTGTCCTGGACCACGAACGACGTGGTGCAGAATTTTTACAACCCGCTGCTGCCCAGTGGCATGAAGTTTGAGATCGGCCAGGCCCTGTATCTAGGCTTCATCTCCTCGTCCCTGTCTCTCATTGGGGGCACCCTGCTCTGCTTGTCCTGCCAGGATGAGGCCCCCTACAGACCCTACCAGGCCCAGTCCAGGGCTGGGGCCACCACCACGGCCACCGCCCCTGCCTATCGCCCACCAGCAGCCTACAAGGACAACCGTGCCCCCTCAGTGACCTCAGCCGCGCACAGTGGGTACAGGTTGAATGACTACGTATGAGTCCCTTCCCCGGGCTTCTGCCAGAGATGCTGGGCCCCAAAGGACCAATGATGGATGCAGGAAGGGTGCAGAGACATTTGTAAATGTGGGGAAGTAAGCCCGGAACACAGGGAAGGAGGGTGCTCTCCAAAGCAAAGACTTCTAAAAAATGCTGGGTTTGTATTTATTATATGTATTTATGTGGGTGGCTTAACGAGAGCTCAATAAAGAGTGTCTTGGAAGGTCGGCCCATGGGGTTGGTTTGTCTCACAGGAACAAGCCGCATGGAGGTGGGTCTGTGAGGCGGTCTGCAGTAGCTCCTGCTGCATCTTCAGGTGTGGAGGGTGTAGAAAGCCTCATCTGAGTGAGTCTTGGGGTTTGGAGTATCCTGGTTGTGCAGTCAAACTAAGGATCGGGAGCTCCGACCTTGACATGGAATCACTAGCATCTGTTAGTGCATGATGGGAAAATCTAGAAAGACTGTCATGCCCCAGGAAGTCACAGAAGTAAATCTAGAGGGGAGGCGAGAAGGAGACAAAGCACACAGTTAAGGAAATGTTGCTGTCTACCTGCAGACGGTTCTCACTGTGCTGCAGACGGTTCTCACTGTGTGTGTGCATGTGACCGGGGGGGGGGGGGGGAAGGAGGGGTTGGTGGACCGTTCCCCAAAGAATATATTGT